TCATTCATGACATAATTCACTTTCTTTTGTACAATACATTGTGTTCCCTGTGGTTTCAATTAAAGTTCATAAGCTTACTATGATATTCACATCATGTGCTGACTTCTCAGCTGACTTAGATTTGATGATTTGTCCTCATTGGTTTCCCTCCCATTGCGGTTTTGTCTAACAGCAGGAGAACTGCACAAATCTTCCTGGAGTATTCTAATATTCTATTCTATATTCTAAATATTATATTCAGTACTTTCATAGACTTCAATAAAGTTAACTAAGTTCATTCACAAATGCAACTTGCCCTTCCTGTGCTTTGGATGAAACACCTATGTGCGACTGCCTACTTTCAACCTAGCTTGATAAAAAATTCTCCCATCTACATATCTATTCTAATATACATTCCCTTTGGATATGGAGTCTATTTTAATTTTAATCACCAATTACAAAATTCAACTTAAATTAAAGTGATACCATTGACTTCTGAACTTATGCAAAACAAAGCTACTGAAATTAATTATAAGTCACCCGCTTTCCAAACATTAATCTATTACCCAATATCAACTGAAATAATATTCACAATGCCCTGTTTGCTGCATCTCCACTAATCGATGGCTCCCAAGACACTGAATATTTTAATATTTTTACACAACCATGACTTCCAATGCCATCTTTACACCACCTGCATACAATGTATTTGGGACTGTGTTTCCCAAATGAGTAGCATTTTGTCATCAAGCATGGAATAGTATATCTCATTGATCAGTTGTCCTAACAATGTGTATTCCTTGGCTCTAAGCGTCTTGTATGCGTCTATTTACATCGTAACTAAAACTTTTGATACTGTTTTATCCCTGTTCAAAATACAAGTGGGTTTTCTGGTTTATCACAATACCATCTACAGGTTTCGAACCCACAGCCTTTTTGCCCATTTACTTGCACACACCTGCTCCAAGTGAATGTGCCATTATCAGACTTTTCTCTCTGTATGAGACGCTTGTGTAAAATAATAATAATAATTACTATAATACAGGATATATACTGTCCTGTGCAAATATCTCTTCTTTAAACTACTTATAACAGTACACCATATATATTAACTTTTCAAGGCCCACTACATACTTTTATAGTTTATTATTAATTCAAGGATCAATCTTATCAAGAATGATTAAGTGTGACACTGAAATCATGATTCATTTCCCAACACCTCTGTGCCCTTCTCCTCCCAAAACGTGATGCCATTTTATGACTCCTATTACTATATTTTTCCGTGAGGATCTCGCTTACCTGTCTCAGTGTGGAAAGGTTGCCCC